GGGGGACAAGTCTCTCACTGTTGTGACGGCCTACGGGCCTAACAGCAGTGCAGAGTACCCGGCCTTCTTGGAGTCCTTGGGAGGGGTACTGGACAGTGCACCGCCCGGGGACTCCGTTATTCTCCTGGGGGACTTCAACGCCCATGTGGGAAATGCCAGTGACACTTGGAGAGGGGTGATCGGGAAGAGCGGCCCCCCTGATCTGAACCCGAGCGGTGTTCAGTTGTTGGACTTCTGTGCCAGTCACGGCCTGTCCATCACGAACACCATGTTCGAGCACAAGGGTGTCCATCAGTGCACGTGGCACCAGGACACCCTAGGCCGGAGGTCGATGATTGACTTTGTAGTCGTATCATCTGACCTTCGACCGCGTTTCTCGGACACTCGGGTGAAGAGAGGGGCGGAGCTGTCAACCGATCATCACCTGGTCGTGAGTTGGATCCGCTGGCAGGGCAGGAGGCCGGTCAGACCTGGCAGGCCCAAGCGTGTAGTGAGGGTTTGCTGGGAACGTCTTGGTGAGCCCCCTGTCAGACGGACTTTCAACTCACACCTCCGGGAGAGCTTCTCCCAGGTCCCGGCAGAGGAGGGGGACATCGAGTCCGAGTGGACCATGTTCTCTTCCTCTACCGCCAATGCGGCGGCTCGTAGCTGTGGTCGCAAGGTCTCTGGTGCTGGTCCCGGCGGCAATCCCCGAACCCGGTGGTGGACACCGGCAGTAAGGGATGCCGTCAGGCTGAAGAAGGAGTCCTATCGAGCAATGATGGTTCGTGGGACTCCTGAGGCAGCTGTCCAGTACCGGCAGGCCAAACGTGCCGCGGCCCGGGCTGTTGCAGAGGCAAAAACCCGGGACTGGGAGGAGTTCGGAGAGTCCATGGAGCATGACTATCGGTCGGCCTCGAAGAGGTTCTGGCAAACCGTCCGGCGCCTCAGGAGGGGGAAGCAGTTCTTTGCCAACACCGTGTATGGTGCGGGTGGAGGGCTGCTGACCTCGACTGGGGATATTGTCGGGCGGTGGAAGGAATACTTCGAGGTTCTCCTCAATCCCCCCGTCACGTCCCCCGTCCAGGAGGCAGAGGCTGAGGATGTTGGGGCGGATACTTCCATCTCCCTGGCCGAGGTCACCAAGGTGGTTGGCAGCCTCCATGGTGGCAAGGCGCCGGGAGTGGATGAGATCCGTCCTGACTATCTAAAGTCTCTGGATGTTGTAGGACTGTCTTGGCTGACACGTCTCTGCAACATCGCGTGGCGATCGGGGGCGGTGCCAATGGAGTGGCAGACCGGGGTGGTGGTCCCTCTCTACAAGAAGGGGGACCGGAGGGTGTGTTCCAATTATCGTGGGATCACACTCCTCAGCCTCCCCGGTAAGGTCTACTCCAAGGTACTGGAGAGGAGGCTACGTCCGATGGTCGAATCTCGGATTCAGGAGGAGCAGTGTGGTTTTCGTCCCGGTCGCGGAACACTGGACCAGCTCTATACTCTCCATCGGATACTCCAGGGTTCATGGGAGTTCGCCCAACCTGTCCACATGTGCTTTGTGGATTTGGAGAAGGCGTTCGACCGTGTTCCCCGGGGTGTCCTTTGGGGGGTCCTCCGGGAGTACGGGGTCCTCTGCTGAGGGCTGTTCGGTCCCTGTATGACCGGAGCCAGAGCTGTGTTCGCATTGCCGGCAGTAAGCCAGACCTGTTCCCGGTGCATGTTGGCCTCCGCCAAGGCTGCCCTTTGTCACCGGTTCTGTTCACTGTATTTATGGACAGAATCTCTAGGCGCAGCCAGGGGCCGGAGGGGGTCCGGTTCGGGAACCACAGGATTTCATCTCTACTTTTTGCGGATGATGTCGTCATGCTGGCTCCTGTAGTGGTTTACTTCGAATGTCAATAAGACCTTTCACAGGAGCCAAGAATAAAAATTAATATAATGCCTTTATTAATTCAATTAACAATACAGGAGAGACCCGTCAATCATGCATGGAGCTCGCTCTGCGCAGAAGAAGCTCCCCGTCACTCCTTGCTTTCCTTTTTAACTGCTCCTGTCAATACCAAATATGGACTCCCACCGCTGCGACCGAATAACAGGATCCAGATGTTTCCTTAATGACTATTACCAAACAGAATTCTTTACCGGTCAACAGACAGTGTTCAGGTCAGGCCGACCCAGCGCTTCCTAAACATATCCCAAAAGAACATTCCATTGCACTTAGGAAATCATAATATTTGTCAAACATTATTCTACCACATATTTCCACCCCTTTCATGGCTCCCAGCCATGAATTAAGTTCCTTCACTAACTTTTCCTCAGCCTTAGCAAAGTAGTTACATGAGTTACACAATAATGTCAAACACTTAGTAAATGAGAGTAAATGAGATAACATAACTTTCAAACACTTGATACATGATACAAAACAATATCACTCTTGAGTGTAGGCGTTGGCAGAACTTGGCTCGCACTTGCATTGTACATTATTTTGATTAAACATGAACTTAAGATGGACGAGTGGTCAAAAAGTAGGTATACTGTCACAGTCCATGGTCTTTTCATCGTCCAACGAGTCGTCCTCCGCTAACCAGTCCTTGATGGGGAACTGCTCTGGTTGGCTACTCTTGCTCTCCGCATTCAGCACTAACATCTGTCTTGTTACCCCTCGCACCACTACTGCTCTCAATACCGGAATGCAACAGCAGAGGACAAGACTTATTGCCACAATGCAAATAATAACTGGTCCTCCAATCTTCACCAACCCCAGTTTCCATGATCCTAAAGTCTGCTGTAGCCAGCCCAGCCAGTCCAACTCTGCATCCCTTCCAGCATTCTTCTTCATCTCCAACCTTAGAGCCTTGATTTTCCCCATTGCCTGTGTGAAAGCTCCTCCTACTCCTGTATGATCGGGAATAAATGTACAACAGTATTCACCCACTAGGGCACAGACCCCTGAGGTCTCTGCCAAAACCCAGTCTAAGGCCTGTCTATTCTGCCAGGCTACAGCACTAGTTGCATGCAACTGCTCTCCCAGGGCTGACATGGCACTATCCGTGTAATTGATGAACTGCTGGAAATTGTAGTAAATGTAGTTTATCCACTCAGTGTTTTTATTTGTGGAGATCCAGGGTAAAATGGATTCAAACCCTGACTTAATTTCAGATCTTGCCTTAAACTCCTCCGGGATCCCTCTAGGCTGCCCAATACTGTCTAAATACACACCAGGGTCTGGTCTGAACGCCCTCTTCACCCTCTTACTATCACTTGTTTCCTCCCCCTGTGGGAAAACAATGAGCTCCTGCACCACCTGCACTCTGGCGCATCTTCCGGACCAGTTGCCTGGAAGAACAGGAAACAGTACTTGGCCTCCACACCACCAAAAGTGATCGGAGAGAGGCGTTACCTGACTATGGAACGGGCAGGCAGGGACATACACAGTCTCCAATTGGGGTCCCTTAATCTGGACAGCTCGCTTCAGGGTAGACTTATTACAGTTGGCATTTACATTCCAGATGCTACTACACTTAGTTGCCTTGACTTCCCCCAACCTTACTGACCCTGTCTTTTCTATGCACTCGTACCGGCCTACAGGAAAGAATGCCACACCTCCCGGGGTCCCCATTTTTGCGCTCTGCATGCTTACTCTAACGTCTATCTCTGCACAGCGCTGAGTGTTTGTTTTACCTTTGTGCATAAACTCAACCTGCTCTTTGTACTGCGGGGTTCCCAAATACAACAGGCACTCCGCTTTACACCATACGCGCAGCGGGTCATTCTCTCTTACTGCTGTGTCACTACACTCCTTCCAACTAAACACAGTATTAAAAAGGAACAAAGGATCGGCCCTTGCCTTTGTACAAACGTAGCAGTCAGTCATTCCATTTGTCCGGCCTGCATACTGAACCCACTGATACCAGCTGTTATACTCTGCGCGATTTAGTAGTCTATCTGGCTCTACCTCCTCGGTCTCATCACCTAGCCCTGCACCAATTCTCGAAACAAAACCTCCAGCCGCCTGTCCTATCCCAGCCACCGTCCTGTGAAACCAGTCCGTCCAATTTAGGTTAGTCTTAACCACGTCACTGATCTCTGCAGTTTTAAAATTCATTCTATCCCCGTCATGCTTCTCCATTGAGTTGTCTCTCCGTACGTCAGTCAACAGTACGTCAGGATTTCGGTTTTGGCCATCCGGGACTATCAGGTCAGCCCTACTCTGTCCAGTCAGGTCAGCGTCTGCCTGATCATTCTGATTGTCCGCTAGGCGAGCTATGTCAAGGTTGGTAGGGTTTTTCTGCTGTATTTGGGCTCCAGCATCAGTTTTGTCAGTCAGTTCTGGTGAGTCCATCAGTCTCTTTTGGATGGGTGACACCTTTATCACAGTCCGGTCCTCTAGTTCTGAGGGCTTCAACAGTCTCTCCTGGATCGGTGACCCTCTGGATTGTGTCCCCTCTTCCAGTTCTGAGGGCCTCAACAGTCTCTCCTGGATCGGTGACTCTCTAGAAGCAAGTTCAGTCCCACGTTCTGTGTGTAGAGTTCCGTCACTCTGTCCTGTTTTGTCTGGGCTGGCGGGTAAGTCCACCCGCATGCCTTGGTCTACAGTCATGTGGTCTTTTTCCTCCATCTTTATAATAGTCTCGTCTTTGTACCCCGGAGGGTTCAATTTAACTTCACGTTCCTCAATTCCAGCTACGAAAAGCTTGGTCCATCCCACAACGTATGTCTGTGGTAATTGTCCTTTCAATGGGTCAAATTCCACCCGTACTAGCCACACATCGCCTTTTTCCTTTATGGCAATACCACAGTCTCTTTCACCCCACGTTGACCTAATCATCTTCTTTCTCCCAAGTGACCAACCGATCCCACACAGTCGATAGTCAGAAGTTTTCACATAAACATTGAACGTGGTCATGTCATCAGTCCAGATCATAAGGGGCATTTGGGCAGTCCAGCTCACGTCTTCTTTGTATGTTCTACTAGTGTCTGTGTACGACCAATTGTCCTCTAGTGGCCATTTATCGATTGCTCTTCTATGTCTCTCGGCCAGTGGGAGTTCCTGTCCCTTCCACCAGGATGACGTCAGGGAACTCAGCGGTACTATCATGGTCATTACCAGCACCACGAGGATCCTCGTCCCCCCCTTCCAAGGAGTCGTCGCCTTGGCAGCCATGGTCATTCTTCTCCTTTTCCTTTATGGTCTTTTCCCCGTTGCCGTCAGCCGGGGCCTTGACGCAGTGGTTTAGGTGGTACCACGTCGGTGATCCCTTCACCTGCACCGCCGTTGACGTCGCGTTCACGACCTCGTAGGGACCTTCCCTCCGTGGAGTATGCCACTTCCGTCGGAAGGTTTTCACATAGACCAGGTCCCCCGGCTTCACTGCAGGTGGCACCTCCTCCTCCTTTGTCTGGCTCTGCACAGAGTTAATACGAGCAAAAATACTCCTGTGGATGTTAGACAACTGTTTCACATAGGATTTCATGTCATTTGTTAACACATCAATAGGGGGGCCCTTAGCAGCTCTGTACACCGGTGATGGCATTGGCCGACCAGTGAGCGCTTCATGCGGGGTTAGTTTTAAGCTTCTATTGGCGCTCCCCCTATAGGCCATCAAGGAAAGTGGCAGTGCATCCACCCAATTCAAGCCGGTGTTCATGCAAATTTTTAGTAGTTTGTTTTTTAGTATACCATTCGCTCTTTCAACCATCCCTTGACTCTGAGGATGATAAACACATCCTAACCTTTGCTTGACTCCTAACTTTTGCAACACACATTTTACGGTTTTGTCTACAAATTCCCGGCCGTTATCAGAGCTGATACGTCGGGGAAGCCCAAATCTAGGAAAAACCTCCCTGCACAAAAACTTTGCCACTGTGTCTGCATTCTTATTTTTTGCAGGTAGGGCCTCAATCCATCTACTAAATCTGTCAATGACAACCAACATGTACCGTTTACCTTGCACTGGTCGAATCATGTCAACATAATCAATGGTTAAATGCTGAAATGGTCCTTCAGGAGTTGGAATGTGACCGGCGGGTGGGGTCATGCCCCTGCGAATGTTACTTTTTAGACATATTTCACAGTGACTAATTACATCGTCCACGTGCTGCTGTAGTTTTGGAGCCCAGAAGTTCCACTCCCTTATCTTCCGCAGCACTTCTCCTCTCGACTCATGAGCCAACCCATGAGCCTCGTTTATCAACAAGGGCAATAACCCGGTGGGTGCAGCAAAGAGCCCTTCATGGTTTCTCCAAAGTCCTTGCAAATCCTTAGAGGCTCCTCGCTGCAGCCACAACTGTCGCTCTGCTTCTGAGACCTCTTCTTGTAACAACAGTAGATCCTTGTGTGTTAATTGTTCTTCTAGGTCTATCATGTGAGTTACCATTATGGCATGAGCACCTGCCGAAGCTGCTTGCTTGGCTGCCTCGTCAGCTGCTGCATTGCCTCTCGTGATCCACGAGCTGTCTTTGCGATGAGCCGCACATTTTACAATAGCTATTGCTTTTGGCTTCATCATGGCTGTCAACAATCTCTTTATCTGATTACAGTGGTGGATTGGAGAGCCGTCTGTCTTCCTGAAACCTCTTCCTTTCCATGCCGCACCAAAAATATGGCACACACCGTGTCCATATGCTGAATCAGTAAAAATATTTACTCTCTTACCCTCTCCGAGCTCGCATGCGCTCGTCAGGGCCTTCAGTTCCGCTAACTGTGCAGAGCACGGCTGCTGGCAGGTCTCAGTTTGGACAACTTTTATAGCGCTGCCTTCCATACTTACAATGGCATACCCTGCTTTGAGTGCCGCCCCATCTCTGTAACAGGAGCCATCCACAAACAATGTCATGTCTGCCGACTCCAAAGGGGTTGCATTCAAATCAGACCGCAACTTAGTGTAATTTTCTGATTCAGTCACACAATCATGAGGCTCTCCCTCAAACGGTAGTGGGATTGAGTCCGCAGGATTTTTCACCTTACACACGCGGATTGTCACATCGGGATAATCTACAAGTAAATGATACTCTGTTAATCTTTGTGCCGTTAACACAAACTTTCCCTTTTCAAGTAGATTCACCAATTTATGATGTGTCATTATTTCTATGGGGTAACCCATAGTGAGCGCTGACGCTTTTTCGTATAGCAGGTGGGCTGCTGCCAGATTCTGATAACATTCAGGTAGCCCCATTTCCACTGGGGACAATGCTACAGAGTAGTAAGCAATAGGTTGAGCGTGTGTCCCCACATTTGTTTTCTGGGTCAGCACCCCACAGGCATGATTTTGTCGGCATGAAATAAACAGTTGGAATGGTTTTTTTCATAGTCTGGGAGGGTTAGCGCTGGGACCTGCTGCAACAAAGTCTTGATCCTTTCAAAAGCTATATAACCTTCTGGAGTCCAGATCACTTTTCCTCTCAGGTTTCCAGCCCCCTGTTCTTTAATCATTTTTCTCAGGGGCTGGACAACCAGGGAGTATTCCTCAACCCATTCTGAACTATAACCAGTCATCCCTAAGAATGTCATCATTTCTTTGACTGTTGTTGGCCTAGGAGCCTGTGATATAGCCTCGAGCTGGGCCGGTGAGACTGATCGGGACCCCTCCCTTATCAATCTCCCCAAGTACTCAACTTGGTCTTGACAATATTGCAATTTCCCCAAGGACGCCTTATGTCCTTTTTCTGCGAGCATGGTCAGCAGAGTCACAGAATCTTTATGGCACGTTTCCAGATCAGGTGCACACAAAATAATATCGTCGACATAGCTAATTATGGTGCTGGACACTTTGCCTGACAGTTCTGCCAAATCTTCTCTCAAGATTTTATTGAAAATATGGGGACTTAGTTTTAGGCCTTGTGGTACCCGGCGGTAAGTATAGGATTGATTTCTGTATGTGAACGCAAATAAATGCTGGCTTGAGGGACTTAATGGCACACTGAAAAATGCAGAGCACAAATCAACCACAGTGAACCACCTTGCATCAGGCGGCACATTTGTTAACAGTGTGTGTGGGTTTGGGACCTCAGACTGACAATCCTCAATCACTTCATTCAGGGCACGCAAATCGTGTACTAATCTGTATTTACTTTTGTCTGCTTTTAATATTGGCAATATTGGTGTGTTACTGCACGGGTTTGGCTCTTCCACCAGGACTCCAGCCTCCACAAGGCCTCGAATTGTTTTTTCAATTCCAGCCTCGGCCTCTGGTTTTAAGGGGTACTGCGGTCTCCAAGGGGGTCTGCACCCGGGTTTGAGCTTAACCTCAACTGGCTGTGCTGTCTTAATAAGCCCTACGTTAGTGTCATGTTTAGACCACAATTCAGGTGGTACAACAGATAACATCTCTTCCTTGAAATCTGAGTGTTGCTTACAGTTTTCCAAGTGGCACGGGAGTCTGGTAACCTGTGGCTGAGCCCAACCCGATGAGGAGATGTCTACTTTGATATATAACTTGTCCTTGCTTAACCAAATGTTTTTGTTTTCAGTGCACATATAATCAGCTTGCATTGCCTCCTGAACCATAGGACCCAAATGCTTAACTTCATAGTCTGGATTTACTAACAATGTGACATGTGGAAGGCTGTTCTTCACCTTAAACTCTTTTTCTAAATATGCACTGTTCTCAACAACCATTGCTGCTCCCTGTTTCCCTATTATGATTGAATATGCCTTAATCTGGACTCTACCTGGCTGTTTTCCAAGCCACTCCTCTGGACATGCTTCAGACTTATCTCTAAAAAATTGTAATGTGCAATGTGCAGGGCATGAAGGTGGTGAAGCCTGGGGCAGATTTGCTTTTATAAAGTCCATCCATGTGTTTGTGGGTTCCATTAAAGTCTGATCAAGATTTCCCAACCAATACACAACTTCTTCTTCAGGGTTTAATGTCATTTGATAATGTGATGCTTCCACAATCACTCCATCCGGTGAGCACAAAATAGCACAGTTCAGCTTACATAACGCATCTCTTCCCAACAAGTTTATCGGGGTTTGCTCTGATATTAATACTGGCAGTTCAATAGTCTTTCCTTGAAAATGCAGGGGCACTGGGTTGGACAATGGTGTCAGCTGCTTGATCCCTGAGAATCCAACAATGCGAACAAACTGTTGTGACTTGGGAAGGTGGCGGGAATCTGGTTGCCCCACGCAGGTGTAGGCTGCGCCTGTGTCTGCCATCATCTGGACTGGTTTTCCCGCTAGTAGAACCTGCAGCATTGGTTCCTCATCAGGGCTTGATGTTGCCGCCAGCTGATGACCTTCCCCTGGATTCTCAAGGCATCCCTAGTAACCAGCAGGTGGTCCCTGCCATGAGTTTACAGGGCCTCTTGCTGGTGTTCTGCCAGAATACGGTTCTTGGATCTCGTAGTAGGGATCCTGACGCGGCGGTTGTCGGCAGTTCATTTTCATATGTCCGGGTTGTCCGCAGTTATAACATCTTGGGGGGTCTCTTCTCCATCCTCTGCCTCGGCTTCTTCCAGGGGAGTAGCCTCTCCCTCTATTCCCTGCTTGCAGATAAATCACTTGCGGCGCTGGGGCCGGTGTTGGAGGCAGAAATGGAGGGACTGGTGGTACAACATCAGCAGACACTACGGCTTGTATCTTCTTTTTCCCAGATGACAGTTGTGTCTGCGTTAATTTCCTCACGGTCTCCTCATCCTCCAGCTTTTGTCGTGCCTGCTTTTTGCGCATTTTTGCGACTGCATCAACGACATGGTCAGTAAACTGTTCAAATGTCATGTTGTACAGTCCAACTGCTTCATTCAGTCTGCTTTGCGCCGTCTCGGGCAGCCCGTCGACTATCCGCTTCCTCAGGGCTGTCCTATGGAAGATGTCATCCTCCGGTTTTGCACCTGTTTGCTTGATCCACTCTTTTCGTGTGTTATGTACGTACGCCTGGGGACTTTCATCTTCTTTGAGGGGTGTCGTAACGATGCTGTCAGGCTGGATTCTGACCGGAAACTTTTCCCTCAGTGCAGTCCATAGCTGATTGCGATATCTGTTGAAAATGTCCCCATCATTGGCTTGGGTTCTGACATACTGCTCCAGTTTTGCAGTGCATAACACTTCTTCCATCTCATTCTTTCCCAGAGTCTTTCCCCAAATTGCCTTTATGTCTCCCATGGCGATAATGTTTGCAATGGTCTCTTCTTCGAAAGTCGCAATCCATTTACTTGCACCATCATGTAGGCAGGGCAGACGTTGTATCAGTCCTTCTAAGTCCATAGTGGCCCAGGGCACGTACTGGAGATCCCTGCCTTTTGCTAGCAGCGGATATTCTGATCCCTCCAATATAGTTGATGTGACAGCTGGTTCTTGTGAAACGAATGACACTTCTCCATTTAGTATTCCTCTTTCCTGTATGGCCCCTTGACCGTTGTTGAATGAGATACGAGATCTTCTCGGAGGTTCAATACGTGCGGCGTCGTTGGCCTCTTCGGTTAGGATGTGGTCATTGGACAGAGATCGTGTCAGTGTGCTTTGTTTCTTCAAGATGTTTTTCCAGGGTGGGATCAGTTTAATCTCCTTCTGACTCGCCCCTTTCTCCATTTCTATTATGCTCATGTCCAGTAATGAAGGCTCTTGTGAAACCTTTTCGATGATTTCCTCTTTCTCACTAACTTCCTCCTCTTCTATATCCCCTTCTAAATCACCATCTATCCCCTCTGCCCTTCTTAGAGACCTTTTTACATCATAGCTGTAGCCACTGGCTCTCCTCCCTTTCCTCCCCTTCCAGGGGAGGAGCTCCTCAGACCCCTGCTCCGCCACAGGTGTCTTTCCTTCAGTGAGCACTGGGTACAATGCATTTTTATCAGACTTCAATATGTAATCACCACTGAATGATAATTTTCTTAAAGGCATCTGAGCGGAGTATGGTGGAGGATTTGCCAACTGTTTCTTAGTAGTCTCATCTCTGGCTGTGACTAATTTGTTAACGTGTTGCTTGCATGCCCTCCACAGAGTTTTGCCTGATTCCTCAAACAGTTTTAACACCATAGATTGTTTTTCCCTTTTCTGTATGCGTTTTTGTGATTTGTCCTTTGGTTTGTATGTTTTAATTAAAATTTCCATTTCGTTTGCCTTCTCCAAATCAAATGTACCCTCTGGTGGCCAAGGTGCCTCGTGATCTTTCGTAATTTTGTGCCATTTCTCAGAGCAACTTTTTATTTCCTCTGCCAAGAGCGGGTACTTTTTTCCTAGAATTTCTACTGGGTTACAACTTTGCGCTTGCATTTGCTGCTGTGGGGCATTACCGCCACGCCCAATCTTACAGCGCCTCATTGTTTACTTAGGTTGCTTTCAATAATACTATATGGGTGTAAGCCAAAATTTAAGTGGGAGTTGTGAATTTAACAATGAGAGAAGCTTTTAATATCAGTTCAAAAGCAAATTGTACTGTTTAGGAGCAACCCACAATCTCTCTCAGAGACAAAATGTTTCACAGCACAACAATGACAGCTTGCCGCAATTCAAAAATGCTGTTTAAACAAAACCTGGTTTGTTTGGACAACAGAATATATTTTAAAATTGTGTAAAATTAGGTAATACAGCCTTTGAAACCGTCAACAAAATCCTAAGAGCAGTCCCAGCTCAAAGTTACGCCTCCGTGCTTTACTCAGAGCACAGGAGACGTGGGAGAGCAAAGGGTGGGGGCCGTCTATGTGTGTGTGTGTTTATGTGGCGCAGATGGACAGAGCCAAATGGAGATGCAGAGTCACGGAGAGATACAGAGCAACAGTTTCTGTAAGTTCATTTCAATAACAGCTTATGGAATTTTTCAGTTATTCAAAGTTAATTTCAATCATGTTCAAGCCAACCTTTTGATTTCAACATTAACGACACAAAGATTTAATCTGCTTGTACACTAATGTATATAATGGCTAAAAAACTTTTCACTATAAGATCAACACGCAGGAATATAATTTGCCACGCGTACACGATAACAAGACAGGACAAAGATACACCAACCGGTTTTTTAACTTATTTACAAAGCGCTTTGTGTGGGAATGGCCATTTTTCGTTTCTCATAACTCATAACTCATCACCCCGGAGCCCCGTAATAACAGATATTTGTCCCCCTTTTAACCCAGGTGATCAGCCCAGGGTTAGAAAGACCCTGTTATTGATTTAGGACGACCTTTCCGGATTCACAGATCGCTCAGCCTACTTATATTTTTGGGTCAAAAGCTCTATTTTTCTCACACAAACACGGGGCTCGTGCCTGTTTATACTCGGTCCAACTGTCAGACCTCCGCGCTGACAGTTCCCACAAGGAATCCGAGAGGCACGATCTCGCAGTCTCTAACTCTCACGACTCAGAAATTTCCCGACTTACGTGTTAAAAACACAACGTGCATTTGCCAATAGACTGATCTCGCAGTCTCTAATTCTCAAAGTCAAAAAATTTCCCGATTTACATGTTCAAAAACACTACGTAGTTCCAATGGACTGCCATACTCACTGTTTCTTTTTACTTCCTTTTTCTATAACAACATTAACCACATACATTCAAAACATTCATATATTAGTAAATATTAAACAGTTTTACATGCGATTGCCTGGTCTCCCCAACACAGGACTTTTTAAAGAGCCAAAAAGGGTCTTACCAACACCAACTTTAGCAACCTCCGGTACAAAAAACACCCAAAATATAAGCAAAATTGCTTACCTTATTTTGTGGCCACTTTTTGGGGGTTCGTTGCGTCGGAGGCCGCCGGTTGGTATTGTGCCAGTCTTCTCTTGGCTTCTTTAACCTGCTTCCGTGACGCCAATTTGTAGTGGTTTACTTCGAATGTCAATAAGAACTTTCACAGGAGCCAAGAATAAAAATTAATATAATGCCTTTATTAATTCAATTAACAATACAGGAGAGACCCGTCAATCATGCATGGAGCTCGCTCTGCGCAGAAGAAGCTCCCCGTCACTCCTTGCTTTCCTTTTTAACTGCTCCTGTCAATACCAAATATGGACTCCCACCGCTGCGACCGAATAACAGGATCCAGATGTTTCCTTAATGACTATTACCAAACAGAATTCTTTACCGGTCAACAGACAGTGTTCAGGTCAGGCCGACCCAGCGCTTCCTAAACATATCCCAAAAGAACATTCCATTGCACTTAGGAAATCATAATATTTGTCAAACATTCTACCACATATTTCCACCCCTTTCATGGCTCCCAGCCATGAATTAAGTTCCTTCACTAACTTTTCCTCAGCCTTAGCAAAGTAGTTACATGAGTTACACAATAATGTCAAACACTTAGTAAATGAGAGTAAATGAGATAACATAACTTTCAAACACTTGATACATGATACAAAACAATATCACTCTTGAGTGTAGGCGTTGGCAGAACTTGGCTCGCACTTGCATTGTACATTATTTTGATTAAACATGAACTTAAGATGGACGAGTGGTCAAAAAGTAGGTATACTGTCACAGTCCATGGTCTTTTCATCGTCCAACGAGTCGTCCTCCGCTAACCAGTCCTTGATGGGGAACTGCTCTGGTTGGCTACTCTTGCTCTCCGCATTCAGCACTAACATCTGTCTTGTTACCCCTCGCACCACTACTGCTCTCAATACCGGAATGCAACAGCAGAGGACAAGACTTATTGCCACAATGCAAATAATAACTGGTCCTCCAATCTTCACCAACCCCAGTTTCCATGATCCTAAAGTCTGCTGTAGCCAGCCCAGCCAGTCCAACTCTGCATCCCTTCCAGCATTCTTCTTCATCTCCAACCTTAGAGCCTTGATTTTCCCCATTGCCTGTGTGAAAGCTCCTCCTACTCCTGTATGATCGGGAATAAATGTACAACAGTATTCACCCACTAGGGCACAGACCCCTGAGGTCTCTGCCAAAACCCAGTCTAAGGCCTGTCTATTCTGCCAGGCTACAGCACTAGTTGCATGCAACTGCTCTCCCAGGGCTGACATGGCACTATCCGTGTAATTGATGAACTGCTGGAAATTGTAGTAAATGTAAAATGTTATATCAAATATACTTCTTTAGGAATTAAACCCCTGGCTTGTTTTTGATGACTACTTAGGCTTACTACGCTACTGTGTAGTGTTGGTCATTTGTGGTGGTACTTGGAGAGGCAAGTATTTTCTGACGGGGTACTTGGTGTGAAAAGTTTGAGAACCACTGCGCTATATGAATAAACATTACTTACTTACAGATGCCTCTCCATTGTTTCAGGTGTAGGCCTACACTAATTATGTTTGTTCATTCTTTAACTACAGAAGAATAGCAAACATCAAACAAAGAAAACGCTTTCTTTAAATGTGAACATTGCTCAACCACATTCACTGTTGGTAGAAATTACCGAAAACACATACGTGAGATTCATGATTCCAACACACAGCCGATGGTGTGCATTGAAAGGCAATAATGGTATATATGTCACAGCCAATTTTAAAACACACTCCCTTCATCCCTATCCATGTGGTTAAATCTAAAAGAATTCCCACTGTTTGCATGTGAGGTTGTAATACATTATGAAAATGGGGCAGCATCAGGTCACCCGGCAAAAGAATGGAATAATTTACTTGTCCCATATTCTCCACCAGCAGCCTTCCTACCGGACACACTGAGTGACCAGTGTTGCCAACTTAGCGACTTTGTCGCTAGATTTAGCGACTTTTCAGACCCTATAGCGACTTTTTTTCAAAAAAGCGACTAGCGACAGATCTAGACAAAGCATTAAAATCATTAAATGTTGTTAATGTTTGAAATTATTTTTGTACATTTGTAGTTCTAAACATATTTAGGGTGTTTTTTACTCACTTTTGTCTATCCCACGACCGTTATCCTCTCCTCCTACAGCGTCCGTTACAGTTATTTTGCAAATTGCCAATTGCAAAGTAGGGCGATGACGTTCATTTAGCGACTTCCTAAGCGACTTTGGACAGCCCAATAGCTACTTTCCTTACTGAGGAGTTGGGCAACCACTGTGATGACCTGCTAAACAAATCTGTCCACATCAAAGGATTGGTGCAGAAAATGTGAGCAGTTGTTTGAAGCGCTGCAAAATCACAAGTTGACCCGGTATGTCACATTTATTTAGGAGATATGGTTACTGCAAAAGATGGAGGGTATGTCTGTAAATACACTGTTGATAATTGGTGCAAATTTCAACCGTGTCTTTATCACATTTAAATTGAATCTGGGACGATGGCACTGCCCCTGTATAAGCAACAACAAGACCCATCGTGCATACACTGCATTGATGGGCCATGTAGTGGTTTATCAAGAAGCACCGAACTTTTTTCAGGTCATTCTTGTGTAGAGGAGAACACAATCAATGATATGGACAGTGAAATGCACATGCTGGAGGCAGAAGCAACAGATTACACAGACAGCCATGAAAAAACAGAGCAAATGAGAGTATTTGTTTACAAAGAAGAAGATACCACCACCAGAAGATATTCCACTTGATCTTAAATCCCACGAGAGAGAAACCACCAGCATGTTTTACCCCAGAGGAACTTGTATGCCCTTATTGTCCAGGGCCCACAACTTGTGCTACATGGAAACCCCAGAGTAATGTGCACAAAAGAGACAGTGATTCAACACACGCTCAAACATCTTCACTACACTACAGTCTCTGCCGTGACTTATTAAATTCAATTTCCGTCTGGCATAGGTAATGCGCAGATGTTCAGCAGGTGGGTCATCCCACCTGCATAACCCAGCACCCTGGATTTGAGCCAGTGGTTCTCAATCCGTATGTGCTTCAAGCAGTGTCTGCAACTAACGTGCAGCTGTTTGTGGACATGCCCAAGACCATGATCTACAGGTTAGTTTTGAGTTAAGAGTATGATAATGTGTTAGTTCATAAAAAAACAAAAAAACAACCCACGGTTTCAGCTGTTGCATTCAGGAATTTTGTCCCGTGGTGTTGGGGTTACTTAGTGCAGCATATTCGCGTGGTCATCCCTCCTGTGCCGTGAGCAGGACAAGACGTGAATTCCCAGAACACGGGAGAATACACCTGGTTCCTCCTACGACTGGTAATTATTGGTCCATTAAGACACATTTATTGGTATATCAATTTGAAATCATAATTTTATGCTCCACTCAATTTCCATGCAGGCAGCTTTTGGAAGATGACTGTAACACCAAAAAGAATATTTTTTTTCTGTAGCAGTGTCAGCAGTCAGGGAATTTAGTTACTAGGGTGGGAACCTAAGGGTACAGTACCTCACGATACGATACGATACACGATACAAAGCTCACGATAACGATAATATCACGATAACAATATCACGATAACGATTTTTATCACGATTATTGATATATTGGTCAGAAATATACAATATGCCAATTTATGGCATAAATAAAAGAAAAATTACTCTTTATTTCATGATAAATAGAATGGAGATGCGCAATGTAGCCATATATTAAGTATTGATACCAATTTTAAAAAAAGTAAAAAATAAAAAAAAAAAACTTTTTTTTTTTCTTTCAAAATTGATAGATACTTGGCAAATGCATATCGATAATCGAATCGCGGGAAAAGTAACAACCCCTAGTTACTACAGTGACAGCTTTGAGTGCAAATTATCATAAAGAAAATTAAACAACAAGTACTTGCAACAGAATAAAAGTCCTTTATGTAAAATTGATAAAATATTTGCAAAGACCAGCTGTTTTTGGACCAAGAACATGTCCCTGTTCCACAGACTATATGTGAGGAGTGTGACATCTGTGTGACATTACCATAGGCTTAGTCCCCAGTAGTCCTGGTCGGTGCCCTCTCACACAGGTCCCCAATAGTCCTGGTCGGTGCCCTCTCACACAGGTCCCCAATAGTCCTGGTAGATGCCCTCTCACACAGGTCCCCAGTAGTCCCAGTAGGTGCCCTCTCACACGGGTCCCCAGAAGTCCCGGTAGATGCCCTCTCACACAGATCCCCAGTAGTCCCAGTAGGTACCTCCTCACACAGGTGCCCAGAAGTCCCGGTAGTAGCTCTCACACAGGTCCCCAGTAGTCCCGGTAGGTGCTCTGGAACATGTCCTTGCACTGGATCTTGGCCCTGAGTTTGGCGCAGATGAGGAAGGCCCCTCCCATCTTGCGGTGCAGGGAGTAGGTCTCCTCTGGGGGCGGAGTCAGCCTCTGGTGGAGCATTGTGGGGATGAGGCGGTGGATCCGCTCCGTCGTGCTCTGGGCGCCAAAGTCAAAAGGCGCAGACGAAGAGAAGGCCTCGCCGAGGATCATGACGGCGTCTACGTGAGCACGCTCCATCGACTGCACAGGACACAGCGTCACCCTCTGGTCAGACTTGTACATCTACAGGGGTCTCTACATGCTGAGGCCAGAGAGAGACCAGAGAGAGACCAGAGACAGACCAGAGAGAGAGACCAGAGAGATACAAGAGAGAGAGACCAGGGAGAGACTCTGATGGACAGACCTTGGTCTCGAATCCTGTGAGAAACCTCATCTCTCTGGACTTGAGCAGGACTCGGTCTCGGTCCTGATCCGCCGCTGCTTTGATCACCTTTAACAAACACACGTCTCATCTGTCATTCCAGTCGTCTCTTAATCCACTTTTACTCCTCACCTCAATGTACGCATCTGTGAAGCTTTTGTCAAAACCTCGAGACGCTCCGAAGTCCAACAGATACACCTGCAGGGTTCGAATCCCACCGGGAGCACATTAACACCAACATCCAGTGAGGGTCCTTAGGCAAGACCCTTAATGCTACTGCCTAACTCATAACCATGAAGGTACAAATAAGCAATGAGATGCCGGATCAGCCGTCGCCCGGGCCCAAACAAGGTCTGCGTCAGGTGCTGGGGAACCAGAGCACCTTGATGAAAAGTGGGCTACTGGAACAAGGCGAAAGTGGACGAGATGCGATAACAGGGCTCTGTTGGAATGCTACTACTCGAGTAACCCTGGCCAAAGAGGTTATATGCAGAGAATGTGGGCTGAATGGTTACTTCGAAACCCACAGTCACAGTTGACCCCGAAACAACTGGTAGCTCAATGCTCCAACATCCACAAACGGCAACTGCTATCACAGCTTGAGATTGATGAAGTACAACACATGTATGATGCCACAGTTGCCGAGGTCAGATCTCATAGAAAGCGTGAATGCAGCAGTGAGGGCAATACCTACCACCACAATCACTGAAACCAATGAGCTGATATACACTTCAGCAGCAGTGATCCTAGAGATGCTTGGCTATAAGAGCAACCATGGGAGCCATGGACAATACCCACCATGGAAAAGACGGTTGGAGGCTAAGATCAAGGCGGCTCGGAGAGAAGTGAGTCAATTAACAGAGGCCCAGAGAGGTGCAATGAAAAGACCAGTACCCAGAAAGTACAGCCAGATGACCATACCTGAAGCACTCGAAACTGCCAAACAAAGGCTCCAAGCCCTGGCCAGCCGCCTACAGAGGTACACTAAAGAGAATGAAGCCAGAAGGGTGAACAGGCTGTTCGCAACACAACCTGCGAAGGTGTACGCTCAGTGGCAGGGTAACAACAGGGGAGCAGATCCACCGAGGCTGGAAACTGAACAGTTCTGGAGGAACATATGGGAGAAGGATGCAGCACATAACAGAAGTGCACAATGGCTGGTGTCCCTGAGAGAGGAGCACAGCCACCTCCCAGAACAGAACTCAGTTACCATCACAGAGGCAGACATCCGAGAAAGAGTCTCAGGTATGAAAAACTGGACAGCACCTGGCCCTGATATGGCCCATGCCTACTGGCTAAGGACACTCACATCACTCCATGAGCGCCTAGCAGCACAAACGAACCAGCTGCTGAGAGATGGGACTCACCCAGAATGGCTAACCGAAGGGCGAACGGTCCTGATCATGAAGGACCCTGTCAAGGGTGCAGTCCCCTCCAACTACCGGCCAATAACCTGTCTCTCCACAACATGGAAGCTCATGTCAGGCATCATTGCGGCTAAGATAAGTGGGCATATGGAACAATTCATGAGCACAGCACAGAAGGGCATTGGTAGGGACACCAGAGGAGCCAAACACCAGCTCCTGGTTGACAGAACAGTCGCCCAAGACTGCCGGTCACGACACACCAACCTGTGCACAGCCTGGATTGATTACCAGAAAGCCTACGACTCAATGCCACACACATGGATCATGGAATGCTTGAAGTTGTACAATATCAACAGGGCTCTAAGGGACTTCGTTGCAAACTCGATGGGAATGTGGAAGACCACCCTTGAGGCAAATGGCAAGCCGCTCGCACAAGTGACCATCAAATGTGGTATCTACCAAGGAGATGCTCTGTCCCCACTACTGTTCTGCATAGGCCTCAACCCTCTAAGCCAAGTAATTGACCAGACTGGCTATGGATACCGCCTCAGGAACGGAGCAAAGATCAGTCACCTCCTCTACATGGATGACATCAAGCTGTACGCCAAGAGCGAGAGAGACATCGACTCTCTGATCCAAACAACCAGGATCTACAGCCATGACATCGGGATGTCATTCGGGCTCGAGAAATGTAGCAGGATGGTGACTCGGAGAGGCAAGGTAGTCCACACAGAAGGGATCTCACTCCCAGAGGGAACAATAGCAGACGTTGAGGACAGTTACAAGTATCTCGGTATACCACAGGCAAATGGCAACCTCGAACAGGTGACGAGGAAAGCGGCAACTGCCAAATACCTCCAGCGAGTAAGGCAGGTCCTAAGAAGCCGGCTCAATGGCAAGAACAAGGCCCGGGCAATTAACAGCTACGCCCTGCCAGTGATCAGATACCCTGCAGGAATAATCAGGTGGCCAAAGGAAGAGATTCAGACCACGGATGTTAAAACTCGAAAGCTCCTTACCATGCATGGCGGGTTCCATCCCAAATCCAGCACCCTGAGACTGTACGTAAGCCGTAAAGAAGGAGGCCGAGGACTAGTGAGTGTGAGAGCCACTGTCCAGGACGAAACATCCAAACTCCATAACTACATCATGGAGAAGGCCAAAACGGATGACGTACTCAGTGAATGTCTCAGGCAGTGGCGAGATGAGGAGGTGCTGGAGGGAGAGCCCATCATGGGAGAACAAGCCCCTACACGGCATGTACCACCGGAGCATAACAGAAGTGGCTGATCTCAAGAAGTCCTACCAATGGCTAGAAAGGGCTGGCCTACAGGACAGCACAGAGGCACTCATCATGGCTGCACAGGAACAGGCCCTGAGCACCAGAGCGATAGAGGCCCAGATATACCACACCAGACAAGACCCAAGGTGTCGGTTGTGCAAAGAGGCACCTGAGACGATCCAACACATAACTGCAGGGTGCAAGATGCTGGCAGGGAAGGCCTACATGGAACGCCATAACCAAGTGGCTGGCATAGTGTACAGAAACATCTGTGGAGAGTATGGGCTGGAAACCCCAAGGTCTAAGTGGGAAACTCCTCCAAAGGTGGTGGAGAATGAGCGTGCGAAGATCCTGTGGGACTTCCAGATACAGACCGACCGAATGGTAATGGCAAACCAACCTGACATCGTGGTGGTAGACAAAGGGCAGAGGACAGCCGTGGTGGTGGACGTGGCAATTCCAAGCGATGGTAACATCCGGAAAAAAGAACATGAAAAGCTTGAGAAATACCAAGGTCTCAGAGAGGAGCTGGAGAGGGCCTGGAGGGTAAAGGTGACAGTAGTGCCCGTGGTGATCGGTGCACTCGGGGCAGTGACCCCGAAGCTAGATGAGTGGTTACAGCGGATCCCTGGAACAACCTCGGACATCTCGGTCCAGAAATGTGCAGTGCTAGGAACAGCAAAGATACTGCGCAGAACCCTCAAGCTCCCTGGCCTCTGGTAGAGGACCCGAGCTTAGAGAGGGATAACCGCCCGCGGAGGGCCAAAGGTGAGTGGACAATTATTTTATTTTTTATATATATAGAGAGAAATTGTCGGCCTCGAGACAATCCTGTTTTGGAGGTCTACAGACAATTCCTTTGACTTCATGCTTGGTTTGTGCTCTGACATGCACTGTCAACTGTGGGACCTTATATACACAGGTGTGTGCCTTTCCAAATCAAGTCAAATCAACTGAATGTACCGCAGGTGGACTCCTATTGCGCAGTAGAAGCATCTCAAGGATGATCCGTGGAAACAGGATGCACCTGAGCTCAATTTTGAGCTTCATGGCAAAGGCTGAATACTTATCTACATGTGGTTTCTTAGTTGTTTAAATTTTTTTATACATTTGCAAATTTGCAAAACTTTTTTGATGTCATCTTTATTGGGTGTTGTGTGTAGAATTGTGAGGATTTAAAAAAAAATATAATTCCTCCTCAAATTTGAATTAATATGACATACGGTTGGTCTTGGCTCCCACTGGGTAGTCTCCGCGCTTGAATTTTAAAACTATAATTTTGAACGATTTTCCTTTTTTAAAAGAAGCTATACCCAATTTCTTTTCTAATGATTTCTTAAAAATGCTTATTACTACATACAAGTTATATTGTAATCCGTAATTTAATTGAAAACTTGAGCTCATTGATTCAGCTGTGTATGAATTCAGGCCGTGAAAACTGCTGAGTAGAATTGGCGTGACACCCACTCTCCTCCAAGCAGCGAACAAGCTGCGTCCTCTTGCCTCTACCGCGCTGGTAAACACTAGGGCTTTGACTTAGAAAATCGAATATAATTTAAAAAAAAAATTATATATATATATATTTGAACGAATATTAGACAGCCCTTAGTATTCAAAATTAGCGACTGCAAATAAAAGTTGGCTCCCAAAGGTTTTGTCGTGACGTGCTAGGCAGCTAACAGCTAAGCTAGCTTGTTCAAAAAACTCTGGAACCACATGAAAACTGAACTAAGATCCTCTTCAAATGAGTCCTAAAATGTTTCATGTTAATGGTTACTTCCGGGTTTATCGCGATCGCTTTCTGTCACATTAAAACAGCATTTAGCTTTAACAGATAACTCTGAAAACCTGTGCACGTGTTTTAAGGATGTATATTGTTACTGCCCGGCTCTGTGGCTGCAACAAAGAATAAGGGGGGAACGACACTAGGACCAGTTTTAAAGCCATGTTTGGCATTTTATTGATAAAGAATAATAATAGTATATTTCTGCGATCAGGGTAAGTGTAATGTGAGTGGCTGCGTGCAATGCAAGTATCGTCAGCAGGATAACCTTATGTGTAGATAGGAGTGTTGGATGAGAATGTGTTACTGTTGGCATGTTCTGTAAGTGAGAGGTGGGCTGAGGTGCGTGTGGTGCGAATGATAGTCAGTATGATAACCTTTGTGTAAATGTACGTGTTGAGTGCAGTGCGTGTAAGTCAAATCATCAGACGAACGAGCGGCGTGGCCTGACACGTCTGTCCCAGGACGTGGCCGGGACCAGAGTGTCAGAGGGCTGGAGGGAGAGAGAGAGAGCCGGCCATCAGGACACCTGCTGCTTTTGAGCGCACCGCCAGCCAATCAGGGCAGAGCTGAAAGAAAGTCAAGTTAGAAGGGGAGAAGGCGTACGCCCGGGCGCGTAACATATATGTATAATGTATTCTCCGACTAACATTTAAAGGTGTTGATTGATTGGTATGCGTTTATGGAGCGTGGCTAGCTTCTCTGCACAGACAGAAGTAGTGACAGGCGCTGAAAGCTCGTTGTACTTGTGGAGTAATGTTAGTATTTTACATACCTGAATTACAAACAGATTGCGTTGCCAAAGGGCAGCGGCCATTATTGGTTTGAGAGTTCTGTTATCAAGAAAAAATTATCGGTTTGCATATTTATTGCCGCGGTGATCCAAGATGGCGCCCTATTCAAATGAATGGCATGCGTTGCTCCAAATACGAGTGTGTGACTCTCATGCAGAGGGGCTCGGCCGCGCTTTGACCAATCGGAGCAGCTGATCAGAGCAGATGTAGAGCGGAATCAGAGCGGGAAGGAAACGAGCAGAGATTGTGGCAGTAAAGTGTGGAAAGTATGTTTAAAGAAAACCGAAGGATTTAAGAAAAAAAGTTCAGGATGACAAGGGACACTAAAATCCCCACAAAATCCGACCTTTATGAAAGCTGTAAGTTCTCTGGTAGCTGAGGTCGAGCTGTTTTAGTTTACATTGAGATCTATGTGACTTTTTCTGGGTAGTGTCAGGATATAAGCCACACACATGCTTACAGTAACACAAGTTTGATTATCTATTTTGATACATTTAGACACATTCAGTGAACAATATTCCCTTTATGGGAAGTTAGCAGCTGAGCAGAAATATAACATCTTCCAAGGACATGGTATTGTTACTTTGTAGAACGGGGACAATAGTTAGGCACAAATGACTCAGCGTGGGAAGCTGGCCACCTTTGGAAGAAGCGCAGCTACTGATCAGTGGGGGCGGGTCCCAGCTCAAAAGGGGCCGAAATGACGTGCGCTGACATGCTTGCAATACCACCCCGGGCCGATGGGGGTGGACCCAGAAGCTAACATTTACCATTGGCAGACCTCTCGAAAATGTCTTTACAGGATGGTCCAAAAGTTGGCTCTTGGCCCAAAGCTCCGTTCCACATGTGTGTCAATGCTGAGGGGAGTGAATTTTTTGGACTAGAGTGGTCCATCTCCTCCATCTACACCCCGCCTGACCCGCCTGGGAGTGCTTCGGTCCTGCACCAGACCTGTCCACGTTCAGCGGCCACTGGTCCACGTTCTGTAGCTAGCTTAGGTCCTAGATCATTAGCCTGTCTGTCCGGAGGAGCGGATCCCTTTCTCAAATGGGTCTCCCTCCCTGTGGGTTTCCCTAGTTCTCCCCAAGGTTTCTCACTTTTTCCCACTGGGTTTTTTAAGAGTTTTTCCTTGTCGATGCAGGAGGGTCTTGTTGGACAGTTAGTGTCCAACAGAAAGGATTGGTGATGATCAGGACACTTTAGCATTCTACAACATGTATGGACATTTTCTTCTGTGTGTGCTTTATATTCTCCATGTGTTTTAACTGTTGATTTTCTGACCTGTGTTGGTGATTTCAATGGTTTTGTTAAGTCCTCTGAGATGACTTCTGTTGTGACCTAGGGCTATACAAGAATAAATTGTATTGTATTGTATTGTATTGTGTATTTACTGTGAATTTTTGAAGTCTCGTTCAAATGAATGGGGCTCTCGCCAGCTGACGCATGCGCAGATGCGTTTTTTCACAATTTTTCTGTGGGCGGGACCACTCGCTGCCATTTTGGATTGCTCCGGTAGAGCAAATTTTTTGGCCCAAGATAGGCATGACTCTGTCCGTTAATATATACAGTCTATGGGTGACATGCTTGCAATACCACCCCGGGCCGATGGGGGTGAACCCGGAATAAGAATTATCCAATGCTAACATATAGCATCTTCCTACCTTTCGAAAACACCTTTTACAGGATGGTCCAAAAGTTGGCTCTTGGCCCAAAGCTCCGTTCCACATGTGTGTCAATGCTGAGGGGAGTGAATTTTTTTCTCTCGTTTAAATGAATGGAGCTCGCGCCGGCTGACGCATACGCAGATGCGTTTTTTCACATTTTCCAGCACCCACGGCCATTTTGAATCACTCCATGAGAGCCCAATTATTGGCCCATTAGTTAGAATGGCGGAGATAGGCATGACTACGTCCGTTAATACATAGTTCCCACAGACCAATGAATGTCACATGACCTCCTCGGAGACGCCGTCTTTGATGGCACGCTGCTGTTAGGGCTGGGCGATATGGCAAAAAAAAAAAATCTCCGATTTTTTCACACCAAATCCGATTTTCGATTTTAATCGATTTATTTTTTCTATTTAAAAACAAACTACAACTGACAAAGAAATAGATTTTCCTTTATGCAGTTTAATCTAAATCCCCATGGAGCATAAGTGTAACAGGAATTAAGCCTTAAAACATGCTTGTAAACGAGATGGCTCTGCCATTGTAAACAGTGAAAATGTAGCTTAACAGTTTTATAATAACTTCACTTACAATGACACTATGCACCTTCAAAATAACTTAAATCACACAAACAAGGCCCATCGCAAATATATCAATCCTATTAAACACATGCATTATTTACATGAAATATCACATTTTTAAAACTGATTACTCAAAATAGAAATGTTGTAACAGACAGTCTTTTCCAAAAGCCTCCTCGGGTTTTCATGCTTGTTCTTTCAACTGTGCCTGAGTAACTGTGCTGTAGTACAACGCTCGGTCCAGCTGGTGGCGCTAATACTAACTTCAGTGACTTCCTGTTTACATTCTGATGCTGTAGCTAACAGCTACTGTAGCAGCTACTGTAGCAGCTACTGTAGATAACAGCTACTGTAGCAGCTACTGTAGCTAACAGCTACTGTAACAGCTACTGTAGCTAACAGACAGCGGGGAACACGTTGTTTGTATCAGAGCAATGAGAGCAATGTGTGAGACGTGTCTTTCCCCAAAGTGCAGCGGCTCAGTGGGACACGAGTGTGTGCGCGCCACGGACACGGGAGTGCGCTTTGGAATAACGAGCGTGAGAGAGCGTGAAAGATGTGGCGTACGAACATGGCGTACGGACATGGCGTACGGACATAACGACCGGAGCCTGCGTGCGTGTGTGTGTGTGTTCTGGCGATTACATAAAGTCTGATTCTTGAATGTTTGAAGTGTTATTGCAACAGCACCAACTGTGAGAGCGAGCATCAGGCCAGAGGGAGACTGTTAGCATTAGGTTAGCTTCAAAATGACTGCTCAACACCATAGACCCGCGGTTAGCGCGTTAGCGCTGTAGTTCTGCGCTGGAGAAAATAAAAATC